CTCTAAGCCAAGTCAGCTTGTGAGCAGAAATTCTACCTTGTGACCTCTGACCTGAAAGATCTACTACTGTAATCTGTTGCTTATGCCAAAGCAGTTTGAGTATGAAGCACAAGAGGAGGCACCACAAGATCCTAAGCAGAAATTCAAAATAAGTTTCTGTTACGCTGTCTTAGACATACCTACACAATCTGTTGAAGAGAGATTCTAGCAGCTACAACAATATAAGTCCTTGTTTGGCTTCCTGTATGACACACAAGATCAACAAAAAATACTAAGGCCTGGAAGAATTTGGAGAAATCATTGATGCACAATGGAAACAAAGATACAGTATTGCTGCTGAAGATCTGTGCTGTGAACTTACAGCAATAGCTCAAAGCCTTCCGAAGTCTATGCCACCACAAGGAGAACTTTTCTTCATAGTGCAACAAAAACTCCTGAATAGTGTTCCTAATGTTTCTGTTGCTCTAAAGATCTTTCTCACACTTCCAATGTCAGTGGCTAGTGGTGAACACAGTTTCTCAAAGCTCAAGCTTATAGAAACATATTTATGCTCAACAATGCTGCAAAGTAGACTACAGTAGTTGGTTTGGCAACTATATCAATTGAACATGCCGAAGCATCAGCCATTGACCTGAAGGAATCAGTGACAAAATTTGCAAAAGAAAAGGCATGCAAAATGAGATTTTGATGTGGCAAAAACAGAAAAATGTAAGTGACATTACAGTTCATGGGACTATTCAAAATGATTTGTGTGCTAAAACTGTTTTGTATTTCAGAAAGAAAATTGAAGACTGTTCTATTACTTGTTCTCTCCTTTTTTAAAATAAATTTTTCACAATTTCAACTTTAGTACTTTCTGTTTTTCCTATAATTTGTCTGCTTTTGAAAATTGGTTGGGGGGGTGCGCAAGTAGTTAGTCTTGCCTAAGGCGCAAAAAAGCCCTAGGCAGATTGAGGTGGTCTCATCACATGGCAGATGCTGAGAGATGGTAATGAAGTAAGCAATGCATTGTATGGTCTGCTGCCTTCAGGTAGGACAAAAGATGCCCTCCTCACCAGGGATGGACAAAAATTCAACTACTAGTTCAGTTTGCTTTCAGAAATGGAATAATGCCTTAGGCCAACTCTGCAGTTGCTGTTCTAACACAGGTATAGAGCTAATCATCCCTTTGCCTGAGAACTGGAATGGGGCCCTTCATGCAGGATTTTGTCAAAGGCTTCTTGGAAATCCAAATTCATGACATGTATCTGACAGCCCTATAAACATTTAAGATCAACATTGGTTTCTAGCTATGGGTTTTAAGGCGGAACATGGAAGTGGAAAGGCCAATAACATGTTCTGTATGAAGTGAATTAGTAGCCATTATCAAGGAAGAATCAGAATGGCAAAGATGAGTTGTGCACAATTTAGAATTCTTTGAAGATCAATAAATATGTTTATAAGATGATTAGGCAGATGTCATAAATGTGGATTTCCAAGAAGCCATTGATAGAATTCCTTACTAAAAAAGCCAAGCAAGTCAAACAGAAAATAAGAAATTAACAAAAAGAAAGAAGCAGAAATAAAATGACTGTTTTCACTATTGAAGGAATTAGTAGAGAATTAAATTATTCAGGTAGGTAAAAACTTAAGCAGACCATGAAGTGTTCCATTAAATATATTTTCTAATATACTTACTGAATTGGTGGGCAGTGAAATGACAAATGAGTGTCAGCTTAAGGAAAAGTAACATAAGCATCACAGTTCCATTAAATACTCATAATTTTATTTTCTTCCCAACTAACAGAATCAACAGTGTCAAAATAAATTATCAGTACAGCAAACCAAAGGAACAGAAAATCCCATCATGCCATATTATAGGTGCCAAAATTCAGAACACATTAATTTAAAACAAGGCAAAAAGATCCAATTAGCAATATAGATTTGTCTCAGAATTAATACTACAAAAACACCATAGCTAAAAAAAATACAATTCAGTAGACAGGTTCAATAACAGTCATCAATATAAATTATATAGAAAACAAAAGTTAAACTAATAACAGCATAAATCAATTGACAATAAATAGCTAAGTAGATTCAGTGTGATAAACAAATACAGTTAAGCTACAGAAACTCAACATACACTCATGAGCCTTCAGTTTCTCATGAGCATATGGCTCCATTCAGGTTTGGCCTGGTTCTTCATAGCAGCTGTACTTATTTTTCACTCAGCTGTTTTTGTGCCAGCAGTTGGTGAGTCTGTGGTTTACTGCAAGGAAATTGCTAGAAGCATTCATTTCTATTTTCATTTAGCTACAATTTAGTGTAGTATCAAACCAGGTAACTGCTTACTTTTAAGCTAGGTTTACTGAAGCATTCCAGATTAAACAACACGGTTTATGAAGTTGATCTGTTTCAGTAAATTATGTTAGTACTGTATTAGTGACGACAGTTAAGAGCTTGGTCAACTGTAGTTAGCTGATATGAGAGCAAAAGCTTTTGGTCTCCTTGCGACTGTGCTATCAGAGGAGAAGGCAGGGAGAAACGCGGAGGACAGATGATGGTGCAATGCATTCATGATGATGTGAAACCATGTCCTTGGGAGGAAACAGAAGTTACTATACAGGGACAAAGGTGGAAATTATGAATGGGGGTGATGCTGAATCTAGTCCACAAAATATTGTTGGGAAGGGATTGGGAAGGAATCGAGTGATTAACAGAGATAGGAGAACCGATTAGTGTGGAAGGGCTAACAGGAAACAAGAACATACAAGACGTAGATAAGAAACAAAAAATTATGTGGCAACAAGATGACCCTGAGTTACAGGAGCGGTTACGGGAAGCTAGGCCGGAAGAGGGATGCAAGGGGAGAGAAAAACAGCTTTTGCAAAAGGGAGGTCTGTTGTATTATAAGGTGAAAGAAAATACAGGAAAAGAGGCACTAGTAGTCCTGGTTAAATTGAGAGAGACAGTGTTGAGACTAGCCCATGATATTCCCCTAGTGAGACAACTAGCAGTAGAAAAAACATTAGCACAAATAAGACAAAGTTTTTTTGGCTAAACTTGCAGAAAGAGGTTTAAAAGTATTGCTGGGCATTGCAGAGTGTCAGAAGTCACAAGTAAAACCCCCA